CATGAAACAAGCAAGAAGATCCATCGGAGCTATTGTTAAGAACTAAAAATACCTGTTATTTCCTTAATTGGGAGTGAAGGACAACCTTCATTACTAAATTCAAGCTCTCTGTGAGAACTTTGAAATTATTAGAGGCTTATTTTTCCCAGAAAGAAAATATACTCTTCATCCCTCTAATGACCTTGTGTGCCCTTTCTCTCTAAAGCGTAAACTGATGTCATGACTGCCCAACACAATAATGAAACTAAGTGGATAATACCATCTGGACTTCTGATGGCAGCCAGGGAGGTAGATACACAACTGGTGAGATAACTTGGTTTCAGTATCTAATCCAGTGAAAAACTGACCAGAGATTCTCAAATAGAGCCAAATAGTGACTCTATTGCGACCCCTTTCCTTTCCTCAATAGAAAAGAAATGCTAAAGAGGAGAATGGCAAACCTTTAGCACTCACATGGAGAGAAAAGAAATTAGTTTACCTAAAGATTATCAAAATACAGTATAGCCTCTATAGTTGACTACCTCCCTACACTGACCACCTCCTTAAGTTGATCTAATTTTCAAAGACTGAACATGCACATGTACACGTCAGTACAGTAGGCCTAGTTCCTTATGTTGACCACTTCCATATGTTAACCAATTTGTTATAGTTCCTTGGGTGGTCAACTTACAGAGGTTCTACTGTACTAATTTTTGTTATAGTGCTGAAAGCAACAAACCAGACAGAGATTCTAAACAGAAAAAGATTTTGAGTGTTCCAAATTAGAATGGGAATCACTATTCCCCTAAGACTCTGGGAACCATTTGATTTCTCCAGGGAAGGATATAGTGAGGTCATCGAGATAGGCTCATTCCCTATCTTACACCAGTAGTACCATTGTTTGAATAAAAAGTACTAGTTTTACCCTGTCTACCAAGATTTACTATGCCACACTAGTGTAATAAAAAGACAAACTTCTTAGTAGACAAACTCTACTAGTGTGGCATAGTAAATCTTGGTAGACAAACTTCTTAGTAGACAAACTTTACCAGTGTGGCATAGTAAATCTTGGTAGACAAACTTCTTTCTAGTGGATAAATGGTCCTTTTTTGCTAACATATGATATATATAAATCATATAAATATTTGTATCTCATATATGTATATATATATCTCAATCCTGGGGAAAGGAAACTGATTTCTTGATCTAAGCATTCTCCTTCCACCTCTACTACTTTGCCTTCAATTTGGAATTACCTATACCTCAGTTCCCACTCACTGTTCATTTAGAGTTTATACATATTTTTCCTTATCATACATGTTGACTCAATGCCTTGAGTCACATTAACAGACTCCCTGATCCTTCCCCATTCCTTGTTTTAATGAAGATAATGCATTGCCTTTCATTCCAATGTGGTGAGGTTTCCCCAGCTTGCTGACTCTTCTCTGTTTACTTTTGTGAGCAGAGACTCCAAGCTTTAAGGGCAAGGCATATAATTAACTCTTAAAGTTTAATATTCTTGTGCTGTGGTCTGTGGACCTATTTCTTCCCTAACTCATTTCTGGCAGCTCATGGTCCTTGGAGCCAAGTACCCTTATTTTTTGAAAAATAAGCTGGGGGTTCTGGGCACAAACAGGTTCCTTAGCAGCTTCTGATGATACCAAAGAAAGAACAAAACCAACAGCTGACATTTTCTATGTCATCTTGATGGTGGAAATATGAAGTGTCCCACAGTATAAACATCCAGGAGTCCAGAATAGCATTGAGTTAATCCCTTAGAAGAAATCACTGGTGGGAAGAAAGAAATAGGCATATCATACAAATGTGGGACTGGAAAATTAAAATCTGATTTCCTTAATGGAACTATCTTCCACCCAAGAGCTTATATTTTATTTGACATTCTGGAAATTTCCAGAAAATTTGTCTAGTATATATTTTCATATATATATTTTCTAGCACTTTATTTTCTCTGGTTTTATGACATCTTCCTTTGCGCTTACTGCTAGCAACTTATCTCCATCTTCAGTATAGTTTTTTAATCCTACATCCTTGTATTCCTGTTTTCTTTACTTTTAGATTAACTGAGAACTTCTCACCAATAAAGAAGTCTTCTTCTCATTGTCTTAACTCCACTAGTACCAGGACAAAGTTAACAATCCACAGGACAGCTGGCTCTTAGACATGCATTCTGGAAACACAAGCTTGCAAGCACTGTATAAGATGTATATGCTTTCAAAATTAGTAAAGAATGATGGTTTGCTGATTACAGATGGTAACAATCTATATTCAGTTGAAGAAACGCACCACTCAATTTGTCTTTTAATTTTTTAGAGAAGTTTCTTATTCAGTAGATCTGGGTGGGGTCTGAGAATTTGCATTTCTAACAAATGTTTCAGATGCTAATGCTGCTAGTTTAGGGGCTACACTTTGAGAACACTGCCTATTTCAGTAGTCATGTCAAGAGTTCAAGGAGCAAATATGCTATAGGAGCCAGAATACAGCCCACATTCATCAGAGGCACCTACCAGTTTTGTATTTATGTTTCATCAGTGAGGGGGGAGGGAGGGGAGAAGAAAGCCTAAATCCATGTTGAAAGCCTGTACTGAGGGGAGTAGAGAGTAGCAAGGGAGAACAGAACGGTAAGGGATCGGAAGTATTTTGTTTATTCATCTGTGGGGTGTGATTTAATGTTTTGCTTCAAAACACAGAGCAGCAGTTCTCAAGTCTCAGAATCACCGGGAGTGCCCACAGAAATTCAGATTCAGTAGGTGCTTGGATAGGATCCCAAAGTCTGCATGTTTACCCAGCATCCTGGATAATTTGAAGTAGATTTTCCAAGGATTACACTTTAATAATGATAGGCACTGGAATGGGGGAGGGGACTAAGGGCAGGGGCTTATTTAGATGTTTTTTAAAAAAATCAGGGAAGGAGGCAGAGCAGACAGGAGGCAGCAAAGACCCAAGGAGCTGATGGGTAAGGGGTGATATGTTTTTCATTTGCATGAAAAGACCAAATACAACAGGGCAGCAATCTGGATGAGAAAATGCCTTTTAATTTTAAGCAGAGAGTGGCGAGAAGAATCTTCCTTTCAAAAGTCAGTTGTGAAAAGACAAAAAGTAGGAGTGGATGGCAGAAGGAGACCAGGTAGCTTACTGAAGAGGAGTTAGAGCAGGAGTGGGAGTGAAGGTCACTGGGCAGTAAGGACATGCTGTCAGCAAGGAAGATTCCAGCAGCAACAAGACGTGAAATACCTCAGGCAGAGCCAAAGCAGATCTGGGGAATGAAAAACACCTGTACCCAGTCTGTGTGATCATTGAAAAGAATGAAAATACTACTCTATATGTATTTATGTGTGAGTGTGTGTGTGATAGAGAGAGAGAGAGATGGATAAAGACGTTGGCTAATGACACCTGTTTGAATGTCATGAGTACGTCTGACTATTCAATTTTCTGACTAGGCATTTGTTAGGAGTGTCAAGGTGCAATCTCTCTTGTATTAATAACACAAGTAAAAATGGAAATCCTTCAAAGACCAGCCTTTAGAAGTCAAAAGGAGCAAGGCATGACATTCAAATTTTGAGTAAGATATTCTCTTGTCTCTGGAGCAACATAGCATAATCTTATTTTTATAAGAATGAATGTGTACTTACATATATGTGTATACAAGATTTGATTTTTACAAGGACTTTATCATGTCCTTTAGTCTCCCTCAAATTGCAATGCTCATTTGGTTTTAAGTCTTTACTTGAACCACTTCTTCATCTGAATTATCTCTCTGTTTCCTGCCCTAACAGAACCTTAGCTTGAGAACCCCAAGATTTTCCCTGAGTATTCCTGACTTCACTGACATTTTCTTTTTTCTTTCTTTCTTTCTTTTTCTTTTTTTTTTTTTTTTTGCAGTTTTGGCTGGTGCTGGGTTTGAACCCACCACCTCCAGCATATGGGGCCGGCGCCCTACTCCTTTGAGCCACAGGCATTGCCCTCACTGACATTTTCTATCTCTGAATTAAAATCATAAGCAAAGAACACTTTCTGTGCACCCTCCCTACTCTCCTGCACTTAAGCATAAGAAATTTATGTTTGAGAGCTTCCCCACAAACTATTATTTAACGAATTCATAAAGAAAATATGGGTTGAATCCTCTAGTAGTAGAAACTTTTGGCTTCTTCTGTAGTGTCCATCCCATTCCACCCTCTCCCATCATGTAATAGCCAGGGATTTGGAAGGGTAGACCCCAGAATGGGCTTTGATTGCCTAAACCAGTCAGTGGAATTCCACACCTCCATCTACAGTGATTGGTTCAGGCATAGATCTGGTTCAATGAGAATGAAGCTCAGGACCTGTGCTCTATACCTGAGAGTTCTCTTTCTTAATAGATTGTGTGGTGTGCACATGTGGTGACTGGAACTATTTGCTAATGTGGGAGAAGATAGTTTGAGGGTAAAGTCAACAACCAGAATGCAGGGCATCATTTTGTGAATCATAAATCTGATCAAACACGGCTGAAACTCTGGCTACCTCTGGCGGGTACAGTCGTTTGAGCCAATATATTCCCTTTATGGTTTAAGACAGGGAATGAGTTTATCTATTACTAATATGCCTCCCTATTATTTGTCAAGTTCCTCCTTGTTTTCAATCTTTGGGACACAGTATGTAATTGGTCTTCTTGCAACTTAATTCATTTAGGAAAACACCTGCACTCTTGGACAGCATTTACTCCCCTGGCAAGATCATTATATATTTCTGCTGCTTATGCTGATTCTAATAAAAGTCACTTTCACAAGCAGTAAAAGAATACATTTGATTGAGAACTGTTTCAACTCAGTTTCTGTTCAAAATGATTAGTGTTCTTATGTACTTAGTACTAATATGGACTTCTTACTCATTTATAAATGAAACATTTCCTAAACACTTAAATTAATTCTAGTTGCATACAGATGGCATTTAGCTCACACAGGCACTATGTGAAAGATGGATTTTTGTTTAACATGCCCCAGTGTTTCTGATAGTGAAGTGGATACCTTTTCGATGAAACTGAAGAGACCCCAGAAGACATATGGATTTTAGCATCTCTGTTGTGTACATTTCCAAGCAGCACTGCAGCTGGATGTAAAGCCGGCAGATTTCTGGGTGGATCTCACCATCTTCTGGGCTGTAACAGAATGAAAGAGAAAAGCTGTGAACATTCTCAAGATTTCACTCATCAGCCACTTGTCTCATCTCTAAGAGGGGAAAATGCTCAATAAAGATTCCTTAAAGCCTTGATCCTAAAATATAGGACTTCCTGCTTTCAAACCAATGACCGATGTGACAGTTCTTACATAAGTGTCTCTCTGACTAACAGCTCTTAATTTTTTTCCCCTTCAGCAGCAGCCTTCTGCTGGGAGCTTAAAATCATAAATGCTTTACGTAATTGAAAATATCAGACATTTTCAATTTAGCTGTTGGAACAAATTTGCAAAATATATTTAAACCATAAGAATCTCCTAGCCTGCAAGAAGAGATTAAAAACCCTTGTTTTAACGGAAACCAACAAGAGCTATTCAATTACCATGTTGTAAGACAGCTCTTTAATATTAGGGCCCTAGCAGAATGTGATTAGAGAGCCAACTTACAAATTATTTTTATCAAAGTTTTTTGTCTGAGTCTGAAGGATATTCCTTTATCGTGTATTCTGGCTAATTTATAAATGGTCAAATGTTTTTAATGAAAATATAGAAATTTTCTGAAAAGAGAGAGAAGCAATAAAATTCTGATAATTCTGCTTAACAATCTAAACCTAAATAAACCCCGAACTTATGCTCAGTATATTCTAAAGTCTTTGACTCTTTCTCTATTAAATGTGACAAACCATGTAAATGTGAATATGATGAAACATGGAGTAATCACTTATTTTTTGATTAAGTGGAAAGAAATTAGTGGTTGAAAAAATAATACTCAATTTTATATGCAGCGACAATAGCATATGCTGAATAAAACAAACTAATAAAAGGATAAAGTGTAGAGATAAATTAGAAATGAAGGAAAAAGCCTAATGTGAACTCTGTCAAACATCCTCATGTGTCGTCTTTACTTCTGTCCCATTCCTTTAAAATGCATTGAGATCTAATTAAATAAAGTACCATTTGGATTTGATTTCTTTGTAAAGTGGGTTGGTGGCAAAATGTCAGGGGTACCATCAGATGAAAAATACTGGCTATATTTTTAAGTTCTGGACTCAAAGTAGAAAGAATTTGTATGTATCCAGCACTCTACCATGATAATTAGTTTTCATTTTCAACACTTATTTCATACAGAAGCCTATCAACTCATACAGCTTATATAACTCAGGAAAATGCAAAATTCTTTGCCTCTGTATCTGTGATGCCTGCACAGTCAGCCTGTGTCTTTCCCGTGTCCGATGGTACAAAGTGCCTCATAAGAACTCACATGCAAAATTTGGCTTTATCTGAATGTTAATGGACTACGTTACTTTTCATTTATGCCTCAAAGGGCCAGCCCTGGGCCCTTTACTGCAAGCCAGCTTATCGCTGGTGAAAGTCACAGGTTATCTTATTTTATTTTATTTGTATATATTTTTTAATGTTTCAGGTTAATCCATCTCAGGTTTTCTTTCAGAGGTTCCTCCCACAAGTGCCTTCCACCCTCACACGGTTCTCTCGCTATCTGGAGTTTCTTTCACCCTCCCCACCTACTCCGCCCAGACAGACAGACAGACAGATACACACATAAAATCTCTCATTACTAATTTCATATCATCTGAAGCCTTTCAAAATGTCACCAATTGTGTCCCATTCTCTCACAGTTCTGGGGGATTCTAAACAGATAATGGGCATTAATGGTTCATGGAATAAGTGATCCTGGTATATGATCTACTAATACATGGATTTTCACTGAAAATTTCAAAGGCAGTACAGAGGGCAGAAATGTCAAGGCAGGCAGGCCTTTTCTATGCTGCTTTGACATTCCAGTACCTGTGGTCTATTTCACCTACATATATTTAACATTGGCTCCGGTGGCTCATATACAGATTTTTCAAAGTTTTTTTTTTTTTTAACTGACACACAACAATTACAATTATCTATGGGGTATATGTGATGGTTCAATACATGTATACATCATGTAATGGTCAAATTAGGGTAATCAGGAAATCCATCACCTCAGATATTTGTCATTGCTTTGCGGTGAGAACATTCAGAATCCTCTTTTCTAGTTATTTTGAAAAATAAAATATGTTATTGTTAACTATAATCACTCTGCTGTGTAATAGGACATCAGAACTTAATCCTCCTAACTAACCCTAATTTCAAAAAACATGAAACGCTTCATGAATTTGCATGCCATCCTTGCTCAGGGGCCGTGCTAATCTTTGTATCGTTTCAAAATTCATTAGTGTATGTGCTGCCAAAGCGAATGCTCATATGCAGATTTTTTTTTTAAATCCTATAATAAATCTGTTGTATGCACTGTACATTTTATGAGTGGGACAATTAGCCAGAGTGTCATTCCAAAGCATGGAGTATTCTTATTTTCAGAAGTACAAAATATGTGCCTCGTGGCTTAGTTCCAAAACTAAGCAAACTTCATATATAGATGACATTTTATGTAATTTAAACAAATGACTCCTGCATTAACATATTTTAAGGACCACTATATTTTATTTATTGTTTTATAGCTAGAAAGAGAGAGAGAAAGTGATGTATCTAGTGATTCCAAAAAGAAGGCAAATCAAATAGACTAAAATGTCTAATTAAAAACATTTCTTTGGGTTCCATCTCCTTATTTCTTCTAAGATCCATGGAGATTCTACAAACTATGGAGCTGTTGTATCCCTCATAAATATTTGAGGAAGGAGCTGAACAGGCACCTCCAGAAATACATTCTCCTAACAAAAACTAGTTGACACTAAAGTTGCATCATAAATAGTCTGGTTAAAAATTTCATACATATGCTCATATATTATCCTTTAATATCTTGGAAAACTGAAGTGTAGAGAAAGAAAGGAACTATTTAAAGAAGAGTGGAAATGCTAAGATATCTTGTTAGAGTGTCCTAATGTCTAGACCAAGTTACATTAACCTCAGGGCTTGCACACTTTAGTTCTTCACCTTTAGAGCTCTGAGGGGTACTATTGTTATGGATTCCTGAAAGTTCATTGAAAGACAAACTGTCATATAAGTTATAATATGTTCAATGTTATAAGCAGTAGACCGAAATACATTTTTGATGGGAGAATAGAGGAAAAGTTAAGAAAACAGCAAGTTAAAAGCTTGAAACTTCCTAGGGATAAATGACAAGACCTAAGACAAGATTTACATTAAAATAAAATCAGACCTGTGAATTTCCTCCAGGAACCGGAAGTAACTTAACTTAGAGGTAGCTTTGGCACGTGTTACTTCTGCTTAGTATAAAATGATTCATGCTTATTAGTCAAAGTTTATGAGAGTCATTCCTGAGGTGACTCATTTAATTCAGTCAGAGTTAGTGACTAGGTTGTGATTACATATTTATTTTTTTCTTTTGAGTCTAAGTAGAGAGCTAAGCTAATCCTGCTGATTAATTTTAAAACCTTATGTTTCATTGAAAAAATGTTAAAAATTAATTTTAATTGATATTTCCAGCAATTTAGAAGTTGCATCCACTTAAAATAATCACTGAATTATGAATCTGCTTTCAGAAAACTCCTTAAAGGTAAGAATTACGATTTAATGAGTTAATCGTATAGCTTAAGAAACTTGAACGGCTGTAGGAGTACAGAAAAGCAGATACTGCCTAAGTTACCTCTCAACAATGGAACCTCTCTTTCTATTGTGAATATTCTTATTTTATAATTCAGAAAGTAATATGATAAAGACCTGCTAGAATGGCTAAAATTAAAAGACTGCCATGTCATTACTTGGGGAAATGTAAATCCTGAGCCATCAAGTAAATACCCACTATCTAGATTCTACAATTAACATTTTATGATGCTTTCTTACGTATCTCCCCATCTGCTCATCCCTCTGTCCAACCAGCAATCCATATTATTCTTTTGAAGTTGCAGACATTGGTAAACTTTACCCCTAATCAATTCACCGTGACTATCACTAATGGAAGTTCTGTCAAATTTTGGTGATGATGCGGAACAATGGAAGCTCTCATACATTGTTGGTAGGAGTTAAAATGTTATACAACTCCTTTGAAAAGACATTCTGGAAACTAAAAGATGTTTCTTATAAAACTAAACATACATCTATCCAATGACCTGCCAATTCCATTTCTAGGTATTTGGCCAAGAGAAATGGAACCATATTCATAAATAGATCTCTATAAGTGTGTTCATGGTATTTATTTACAATAACCGAAAAAAGAAACAGCCCAGGTGTCTGTCAAGAGGAAAATGGTGAGGAAATTAGTACATTTCTACAATACAATAATAGGCAACATTAAAACAAGCTACCTTCTTAAAATAACATAGATGAATCACAAAAATGAATCTTGAGTGAGAAAATCCTTACACAAGCTAAATACTGTATGACTCCATTCACATAAACCTCTAGAGCAAGTGAAACTGACAGTGAAAACATTAGAACCGTGGTGGGGAACCGACTGAGGAAACTTTCTGGGAAGAGGATAATATTCTATATCCAGACAGTGGTTGTATGGTTACACGTATACACACACCAGTTACATGGGTGTATATATACATTTGGCAAAACTTATTGAAGGGTACACATAAAATCTGTGCATTTGTTTATATAAAATTTTACTTTAAAAGAAGCAAATATTGAAATCTAGGTAATATTATGCATGATGAGTTCTTTAGAGGTTAAGTTTACTAATATCTATAACTTCAGGAGTATAACACAAATTGCTGATTGGACAGGGGGATGTACAGGTAGGTAGATATGTAATGAAGCAAGTATCATAAAATGCTAACTGAAGAATCTAGATGGTGGGTAGTTTTTGATGGCCAAGGATTTAAATTTCCCCAATTATTACATGGCATAATTTGAACAAAACGACCAGGAACCTTTCTGCCTGGGTCAAGGTCAGGAGTTAACACACTGGGGATGGTAGTTGTGAAACATCTCAGCCTTGCATCTGTCTGCTCTTTTGCTGACATTGCCAGACTTTGGTGGTCTGTGCAGCTGCTAATAGCTTTGTAAAAGCCAGCAAAATGTTTGTTGTTTTGGTCGTCTGCTTCTAATGTCATGATTTGTAAATTTAGTCAAAGGCAGAAACATATAATGAAAGGAAAATGAGTTGTCGAGTCAGAAAACTTAGATTTAAATATATGCTGCGTCCTGTTAGAATTGTGATCTTAGGAAAAACACTTGGACTGCTCTGAGACTCAGTTTCCTCAGTTGTGAAATAGGGATAACTCTATGAAGTACCTCAAAGCTGTGCAATGATTAGATAAGATCATGGTGGGAAAACAGGGCGAAAATGTGAAGGATTATAAGATGCTGGCTGCAATCCATCTTAGCCCATCAAAGTCATGTTTACATAGCCTTACGCAGGTAAAAAGTCTTAAGTTATACAAATTACTTGCTATTTTGTGACAGTCTTTATTCTCTTACACTTCCCAAATAGGGACTTTTGTTACATAAACATGCAATTGGGCTGAGGAAAAAAAGGTCTGACCCTACTGACAACCACTCAGCATTTTACAGAGTGTAATGGTGCCAGATAAACACTTGGAGTTTGTCAGCTACCGAGACAGAAAGCAGAACTCCTGTCACAGCAAATCTATCCAAGTTTCTCTTTTCAGAATCAATTCTGTTGTCTCTTAAGCCGAATGGCGAGGAAGGACTCAGGAAGCCAAAAAGGCGGAGGGAAGGGGATAGTATCTTTTACTTTATTTTTTGGAGTAAATAGCCAGGAAGGAAAGGGGGATTAAATGACTTAGTGGAGGACAGTGGTCTCCAGAATACCGCTTCAAACGTCCCCACTGTCTCCTCTCGGATGGATCTCACTTACAAAGATATGCCCTAATTCTGTGCCAACTTCAGTGACAGTTTCAGAGCCCAGCGTTCCCATGATTTCTGTGAGAGTTCTCAAGGTGGTCCTGTAAGTCTATATACTCAATGGATTGTTGGGGAGGGGGCAGGCAGGGACCAAGTATGTGTATATGTGTGCGAGAGAAAGACCCAGTTACCATTCTACATTTCAAGCTTTTATTTATTATTATTATTATTTTGTTGCAGTTTTGGGCCAGGGCTGGGTTTAAACCTGCCACCTCCAGCATATGGGGCCGGTGCCCTACTCCTTTGAGTCACAGGCGCTGCCTCATTTCAAACTTTTAAAGGTAATTACAGAAGATATGCAAATTCATAAACACAGAACTGATGCTAGGTATCTACTAAATGACTACGTGTCTTACATCAAAATAAGCAGCACAATAAAGAAGAGAAGCCCAGGTAATGAGGAGACTGGACACAAGACATTTTCAATACAAGTTGATTGTATCTACAAGTTGATTGTCTACAAGTCTACACATCTACAAGTTGATTGTACCTACAAGTTGATTGTTTATAAGTCTACAAGTCTACAAGTTGATTGTACCTACTGTCTCCATGTTTATCATAATCGTGCTCCAGTGAGTGTTTATGAAACCTGTGTGTTAGGGGGAAACCTCTTGTAATTTCTGCATAGAGCATCTTAGCAGGTTTGGTTCCTCCAGGAGCCTTTCAAGCATAATTGCAGCAATTCCCCTCACTTCACAGCATGTTGTTCCATGCGAACATATGGCGGGCTCTCCGACTTCCTCACCATTGAACAGGAGTTGGGATCAAAGTCTGCCCTGCAGCTATTTGGGTTCAGTTAGAAATAAAACTTGACTTTTAACAGCACAGGGAAATCTGAAACGCAACTGAATTGTTTTTCGTGGCTACGGAGGGTACCTTCATATAAATCCACGAGGCTCAGAGGGGTCAGTGCCTCTTACAATTTCAGGCAACTCTGGTAATTCATTTCCCTGTTGTTTTCGGTTTGCCCTCTGCCAGGACCTTTGCTATTCCCCGTGACCCAGTTGGGAGAGTTGATAAATAATGGGTAGCATTATTAAGCTCATTATTGTTTTTTTTTCCATTTAAAAAGTAAAAATTATATTTAAACACTTAAAAAAAATCAATAGCCTCAGTTTCCTGACATAACCATGCTCATAATGAGAGAAGACTAAAAATATATATTACTATTAAATTGTAAATCATCTTTTATTTATCGTAAATGTTACTGTTTAATGCAATAGTGGTGAGAGTTGGGAATCGGTGGTGACATTTGAGGTGATTATGAAGGCGCCTTCTGGGCATTTTGTAGGGCATTAGAGGTTGAAGGAATTAATGGGCTGCATATTATGAATTCTTGTTCTCATTATAGGAGTATCACTCCCAAAATGTATACTAACTGACCAGGAAAAATTAACATGTACAGGCA